GTATGTGTGTGTGTGTGTGTGTGTGTGTGTGTGTGTGTATTAAGGGCCATCAAAAATTCTTCACTTGAATAACAACATCTCCACTGAATTTATAATTATCAACTGCCTCCGACTAGAAATAGCAAGCAGCAAATCATGGTTTCCTAGGCTATGTCCCACCCCACTTCCTGTTTCAATTGGTAATATTTCATCTACTCATGCAAACTGTATTTCAACGAGTAAAGTAAAACTCAAGAAAATATTGAAATTCAATAAATATTAATTAAATATTAATAATTTACATTTTTTAAGTAATTTTATTCAAGACATATCACACCTCTAAATCAATGGAAAAAATATTCAGAATTTTTCGAAGAAATAGTTTTTGCATTAAAAAATACTCTTTCTAAGGACATTTGCATGCATTTTTCCATTGATTTTAACATGATTGACAGTTACATCCAATTCTTGTCACTGTAAATATATTTGATATTTTCAAATTAAAAATGTTAATTTGTAAAGTAAACCTTTTAAGAAATGTCTGTGATTTTTCACCAAAAAATTGTATTTGCATTAAGGAAATTGAATCTTATATTTAGGGACATTTTTTTCATTGTAACATTATTGACGACCAATTATTATTACTGTAATGTGAAAAAAATAATGCTACAGTATAAAATTATAATTATTACAATAATTCTTATTTAAAGTGTATTTTCTCAAAGACATGATGGTTTTCATACTGTATTACAGTAATGAGAATGAGATAAGTAATGATTAAATGTCATGAAATTTCACAAAATCATAATGCAATATTTATTTATTCATAAGATAATTTAATTTTTTTATTTTTATTTTATTTCCTTGTAAGCTTGACCATCCATAACCTTGTTCTTCTCAGGAGACAAAGCGTTTGGTCCATGGAAATGTCTGTGGCAAGAATATTCTGGTGGTCCGGAAGGGTTTGGAGGAGGGCACGTCCCCTTTTGTGAAGCTCAGTGACCCTGGCATTTCTCAGTCGGCTCTGTCTCGTGCAGGTAACCGAGAACTATGTTGTTATTCACACGAGACGAGTACATCCTGTACCCCTCTATCTGTGTCATTTCTCTTGTTACCTCAGTCCGCTTGTCACTACTGTTTACTTCATCAGATTCTCTCATGGTTCATAGAACAGGAAGCTACGAACGAACCACTTCCTTATGGTGATGCACACTTCCTTTAGTCTAGTGCATTTATTAGTGTCAGGATGATCATATTTACAGCACTGAAGCACCTGTCCAGAATGTGTAGTGACAGAAACCCTAATTATTAAACTTCAGCACACTGTTTGTGTTTCAGACATGAATGATGCCTCAAATCATGTGGCTTTTTGAGGAGAGGTGCTGTATTACTTTTTAAGTGAAAATCCAAGTCCAGAAACCACACAGAACACCCTAGCAAATGCATAGCAACCCACTAAAAACACTCAGAACACCCAAGGATTGCATTTACTTCACAAAATGTAAAAGTCTTTGTTTCATACGTGTTTTACATGAAGAGCGCGTGGAGCGCATCCCGTGGATCGCTCCGGAGTGTATCGC